GTTAACCAGCTGTTCTATTATCGGCAACTCGAAATCAGCCCCATTTTGTATAACGTATGCTTCATTTGAAGAAAAATCTGGCATAACAGGATTGCTCGGTCCTACAAATATAATCAGATTGAAGCTGAAAGACTAAAGAATCATTTGGATACATTCAGGGAAGTGTGTTGATGGTAAAACATAGTGAAATTAACGTTTAAATTTTGATTGCCGAAAACAGTCAAAGGGTGCCGAAGCCGACATTTACCCTATTTGAATAGTTATAACTTTTATTGGATACATTATAACACCGTAATTTTTTTTTGGCAAAGTTGTTAGGCACTTCCTGGACTATATTTGTACATACTTAGTTGCATGGTTCATGCAAAATTGTAGTCTCTAGGGTTAAAAAAGCAAAAAAGTTGGTTTTCCCATACTAATTTCCATACAAATTTCAAACGCAATGCGGAAAGCCGAGTTAAAACCAATCGTCCCCAAATTTTGCACAGTTGCTTGGGACTCCAAATGGAACCAAAAAAGGGTTGTTCTCGATTGGTGAGGTAAAGTTTGCGTTTTTCCATTAAACGATGACCCACTCTAATGATCATGCTCATCCCATTAAACTGAGGCGGGCCACTTTTTTTCTAAAATGTAGGAAATGTTGTGAGATGTCCACACGCTTAGTAGATAGAAAGAAGATTGATGAAGATTTTCAAAATTTCCTGCAAGAGATGAACCAATGTTTTTCGTAGATTGATTCGCGTGAGATATTTCGACCATCAAAACTTGGGATGTAAATGTGATGCACCCTTAGCATTAAACGAAGAAGAGTCCAAATGTTCGTGAAGAGACTTATACCAATGCTTTTTTTTTCAATTGAAAGGAAATATTCTGATGTATGATGGATTCATCATTTGTTGTAGCTGTTTGATTAATCCGCGTTTTGATTTCATTTTAAGAGAGGGGTTGCAGGACCTTTTGTCATTAGGTCGAAGGACAAAAGGTCGATGGAAATATACTTATTTTCTGTAGCATAAATTAAATTTTAAGAAGTATTGCCTAGTTAGGGTTATATTATTTCAGTCTTGACTGATTTTTTACCAAAGCAGCTGTTTCGAAACGCGATTTAATATGGATATGATACAGTCATAGGAAGGAATACTGCAAAATTGAAGAATTTAATTTGAAATATACTTACAGGGGTTGTGAGAAATTTTGTCCAACTTTGGACTGTTGTAACTTCGTTGAATATTGTTCGATTTTTAATCTTCAAGAACCATTCGACTGGAAAACTAATCAAGTTTTATGGTGGGACAATGGAAGTGACCATGGTTACCGGATACCGGAGATATTCCGGGTTTTCTGAGGGCATGTCTAAATTGCTAAATTTGTGATGAGTTTTTCTCAGAGTGTCCGTTACTAATCTGTGTTTTTTGTTCATACGCCAAAAATAGAACCATTTCCAAAGCAAATGACGTACCAAGAGCTAAAATCGGCTCAGAATCAACCGAGATATGGCCATTTCCCTGGAATCGGTCCTGAGGGAGGGTTCTGAGTGCGGTCAGTTCTTTCATTCACTCAAAAACATGCCATATGACACATCTTTCTTCATGGTTTTTTACCAATAGGCTGTCTATAGACTTTAACTGGAGCATTGACCACATTGGCCACTTCCGAAACCACCGGAGTGCCCTCGGGGGAACCTGTAGTAGGGGACAAATTCATTTTTACACCAAAACATGCCGTGCGACACCTCTTTCTTCATGGTTTTTCATCAGTAGGGTTTATAAAGACTTTAAATGGATTATTGACCACATTGGCGACTTCGGGAACCACCGAAGTACCCCCGGGGAACCTGAAGTAGGGTACAATTTCATTTTTACACCCAAATATGCCATGCGACACCTCTTTCTTCATAGTTTTTCATCAGTAGGCTTTCTATAGACTTTGAATGGATCATTGACCACATTGACCACTTCCAGAACCACTGGAGTACCCCCGTAGGCACCTGCAGTAGGGGAAAATTGCATTTTTACACCAAAACATGCACAGCAAAAAAAGTAGTGTAAATTTCCGTTACTATGATTCACATAAATGGAGCGTCATATATCATACAAGTTTAGATTATAGATCGTGTAAATTTATGAGACATGTCATGCAATATTCCATATATTGTATGCAACGGTTCACTTTTATTTGCAACATTTCTTGCAAGCTGCTAGTTTAAGTGAAAAGAAAGATTACATGTATGAATGTTTGCATGCATGGATGTTTACATCGCCAGTAAAATTCAGAATTTTTTGGTGTGTGCCATGTGACACCTCTTTCTTCATGGTTTTTTACCAATAGGCTTTCTATAGACTTTAAATGGAGTATTGACCACATTGGCTACTTCCGGAGCCACCGGCGTGCCCCCGGGGAACCTGTAGTAGGGGACAAATTCATTTTTACACCAAAACATGCCGTTGGACACCTCTTTCTTCATGGTTTTTTACCAATAGGCTTTTCATAGACTTTGAATGAATCATTGACTACATTGGCCACTTCCGAAACCACCGGAGTGCCCTCGGGGGAACCTGTAGTAGGGAACAAATTATTTTTTTTCAATAATCCTGCCGTGTGACACCTCTTTCTTCATGGTTTTTCATCAGTAGGATTTCTAAAGACTTTAAATGGATTATTGACCACATTGGCCACTTCGGGAACCACCGAAGTACCCCCGGGGAACCTGAAGTAGGGTACAATTTCATTTTTACACCAAAACATGCCATGCGACACCTCTTTCTTCATGGTTTTTCATCAGTAGGCTTTCTATAGACTTGGAATGGATCATTGACCACATTGGCCACTTCCGGAACCACCGAAGTACCCCCGGGGGAACCTGTAGTAGAGGACAATTGCATTATTACACCAAAACATGCCGTACAACACCTCTTTCTTCATGGTTTTTCATCAGTAGGCTTTCTATGGACTTCACAAATTTAGCAATTTAGACATGCCCTCAGGAAACCCGAAATATCTCCGGTATCCGGTAACCATGGTCACTTCCATTGCCCCACCATAAAACTTGATTAGTTTTCCAGTCGAATGGTTCTTGAAGATTGAAAATCGAACAATATTTAACGAAGTTGCAACAGTCCAAATTTGGACAAAATTTTGCTAGTACCCTATATTTCTCACAACCCCTGTAAGTAATATTTTGTTAAGAAAATCTTTAATATTAATAAGTTTAATTGGTCTAACATTTTTCGAATATTTCTCGTGCAACACGAGAAAAGGGCCTATCATTGTTGATCGATTCTCTTCATCGATTTTCTCTTTCGCGAATAACCCGACTGCAAATGCATTTCCCATTGAGTGTGTTGTTTCCGACGCAAGCTAACATCATCTTCTGTCGAACTGTGCTGCGAGCCTAGCGAGAAATTCGTTTATGTTGCCGTGCTAAGCTAAAGAGAAAGTCGATGAAGAGTATCGATCAACGATGATAGGCCCTTTTCAAATGATACGCGAGATTTGCTCTAGAGAAAAGTAATTTGTTAGACTTAAATTAAATGGATAGTTGAAGTAGGCTTCAAGCATTTACAACTGCAACAGTTTTTTTTTCTAAAATATGTACAATAAGTTTATTATTAAGCGGGTGGTCACTAGACTGATGAAAAATTTGAAATTTCCGCGCCACGGTCTCTCAAACGGTTCCAAATTGAACCCTGATTAGCCTCCCAAAATTTGAACTCATTTAGTGAGAAACTGACTTGGCACAAGCCATTTGAAGTTTATATGGGAATTACTATGAAGGAACCATAATTTCGGTTCATATCTATCTCAAAATTCACCAGTTCACTCTACTTTAGAAAATGATAGCTGAGCTTGTTGAATTTTTTTTCAGCTACAACTTCGTTGAAGTTTACGATCAAATGTAAGGAACAAAAATTTTTAATGATTCAAGTCACTGAAGTTTTATGATTATGCTCAATCAACTGTTCAGCAGGCAACATTGGGGTTTATGGCGCGTAGAATAGAGGACCAAAATCATGGGTACTATGTCACACTACAGAATACAGTGTTGCCCACAATACAGTTGCTTAATCTTACCATAAGATTGTCAATCTCTCAAACAATTAATAACTATTTAATATGACGTTTGGCTGAAAAACTTTGTTCTGCAAAGTTGTAGCTGATAGAAATTCCCATTTTTATAGCAATAGTACAATGTATAAAAAGACTATAAGACAATGAACAAAAAGTTTTGTTTTCCCATAGTAATTTCCATATAAACTTCAAATGCTTTGTGCCAAGTCAGTTTCTTATCAAATGAGTTAAAACTTTCGGAGGCTAATCTGAAACCGTTTGAATACTGTGGGGCGAAAATTTCAAATTTTGCATCCGTTTATTGACTTTGTTTTATGAATTGTTATTGTTTTGTCATTTGTTGGAAAGTTTTCAATATTTTCGCCATTTCGCTTGATAAGAAGATTTATTTTCTATGACAATTTTAGACAACTTCCCAACCTTGACGCAAGAAAGTTTGAAATTCCTGTTCTGGAGTGTGTTCAAACGACGAAGAGAAGATAGTAAAAAGTTCAATTATCTTTAAACGAGCTTTTTCTCTCCGCGGCTTGATCGCAGCAAAAACAAATTTTATCTCCCTCTCTCTCTCGCCGCCTCACCCATACCATAGTTCTTCCCATTCGTCCCTATATCATCCTCCCAACAGCATCGATTCGTTTTCAAAAGCGTTTGTATTACCTCTTTCTTTTTCGTCAGATCTTTCACTTCGCGCGCCGATGATGATGATGATGGTGATGCTGATGATCATGGTGATGACCATCGTGTGTCTCTTTGTGTCTGTTTTCCTCCTTCACTTTTCGATTCGCCTGCTGATGTTGTTGTGATGGTGACTGGGAATGGATGGGAAAGAAAATTGATTGCATTTGCGTCACTGGCTTTTGTTGATTTACCAGAAAACCCTTCTTAATTATGTGTCGACAAATGAATTTAATCATGTTTTCTTCTTGTTTCAGATCCATTCAAATCCATGGCGCTCTAATTGGAAGAGTCACTTTCTAACGCCTTCATATGATTTAGGTGGTAAGTATGTTTATTTTTTGATAAATTCATCTGACCCTGAAAAAGACGACATTCCAAGTGGAAATTCGTTAGAATTTTCGGCTGACCCCTGGCAGAGTTGGACAAAGCCCAATTCAAAAACCCAAATTGCCCCTCCTCTCCAGCCCGCTAACCGATGATGTGCGGCGAGAATTCGGATGCGTCATACGGACCCGATCGGTTTTTGTGTGTGTCTCAAATTTGATGAAATTTTTTTCCTCCTCGACCTTTCCATCCATCGTACTCGGTTTTTCATTACTTCTCGGCAATTTGAGCCCGCCAACGGCTGCCGGAGTTTCGCTGACTCATCCCTCATCGCCGTTCGATTGCCCGAAACAAAACAAAAAAACGCCTTTTCAGAGCTGCTAGGATAGATGCTTTCAAGTGGACCCTTCTTCTTTTTTTCGATTAAAATTTCGAAAAAAAACACCCGTCTCCTAGACTTTGTTGAAACTTCCCTTTTAATTTTATGGCTGATTAAAGGTCAATTTTTTCTTCAAAGTACGTCACATTCCAGCTACCCCCCCTTTCGTCGTCGTCATTGAGTTCCAGGGAAGTTTTTGTTTCAATTCAATAAATCCTCCAATTCGACGAAAGGCACGCCATTATGTTGCCCTGCATGCAACGTTTTGGTACATTCTTGCGAATGGAAATTTTTCGCCTCTCTGTCGGCAGCAAAAAAGAAATTCGAAGCGAGAGCGAGCGAAATGAAATAAAAGTAAAATAAAAGTGGAAAATGTTACCAGTCGTTCAAGATTGTGGCGCAAAAAAACGCATACCCACCCTCGGCCGCCCTCAGCGCCTCCTGGAAGCCTCGGAAATTCTCCCCTCCCTCAGATCCTAAATCGAGCGTGGCAGCAGCAGCAGTAGCTTTTTTTTTACGGGGAAAATATAAAATTTCCAGAACGACCCGCTTTTTTCCTCGGCCCGTCTTCATGACCAGCAAGTAGGGTAGCAAAAGTATATAAGCTGTGGAAAATAAATTTGCTTTTTCGAAAAAAAAATCCGATCGTCCGTTTTTTTTTTTTTTTCTTAAATCGGGAAAATATGGTTATACAAAATAGGGAGGAAGAGCCCAACGAGGAAAGAAAATGGAAATCCTGGGATTTTTCCTTTGACAGGCGAAATTTTCCTCTCGTTCCCAGAATGGAAGGATGGAAGGATTCGTTGGGTGTAGCTAGGTAGCAATATGTATGAAATTTTGAATGGTCCTTGTTTTGGAATTCATGAGAAATTATTATTCGCTAGAAGTCACTGGCCATGAAATCAGAAAAAGGGTACAACATTCGCAGAATCGTGTCATACGCATAAATGTGATGTATTTTGATGTGTCGCACGCTCAGCATTGTAAGAAAATCGATTGTGGCCACCGGAACCGGTATCCGGAACATTCGGTGTGGATCACTCCTCATGATTTATTTAAAAAAAAATGTCAAAATATTCGAAAATCTGACATTAACTTGATGTGTTTTGCTGTGTCGCATGCTCAGTATGATGAAAAGCTCGATTGTGGCCACCGGAACTGGTATCCGGAACATCCGGCTTACGTAATTGGCCAGAAGTAAAAAATGGCAAAATATTCTCAAAATCGTCACTTATGCATCGGTTTTTCTTTTTACTGGCATGAGTTTAGTATTCTGAGTAAATCAATTGAAGCCATCGGATCCGCCATCCGGAACATCCGGTGGCCATGTAGCTAGGGGCGTCTCACTTTTAGAATGCCCATCCATTTTATTTAAAAAAAAATGCATTTATTTTCCATCGTTTGCATCAACCATTCAGTGGGATTTGAACGTCAAACCAAGTCACTCTACACACTTGTTTTGCGCCAACTTTTTTCTCAGAACAGAAGCGCACCTCTCGCAACGCTGAGTTGCAGTTTCATTATTCGAGCACTATTTTACAACTGCTCGACTATTCTGTTTTATTTCTGAGCGAGTTTGAAACACGAATGGAACTCTGTTTCAAATTTCTTTGGATGTGTTTAAAGATGCTTCGAAGAGCTTCACAAACAAAAAACGGAGTACTTCATAGAGAACAGTAAAGTTTATGGAACTTGATGATTACAAACATCTTTTAGAACTGTGCGTTGCGCTGATCGTGTTGAAGTTTTATTTTTGACAGCTTCAAACTATAGAATTGTCGAGTAGTTCAAAACAATTTTGAAACTCAGCATTGCGAACGGCCTAAAGGTCCATTTAGATTGTGGAGGCGAACCAGCCTAAGGCTGAAAGCCTCCTAAATAAAGCTAAATTAATTAATTAATCCATTTAGACTATCTGATTTCTTGGTCTGATTCGAGCGGACTGCTCGATAATTTTGTCAGATGCAATGTTCGGATGCGTTCACACTTTTTCGACATGATGATTAGATTTGACGTTTGATTTGTCGAACGAAAAAGGTTTGTTTAATTTTTATTCGACTCATTCAGAAAAATAGCCGCAAGTGAGGAGAAAATTTTGTCTAAAATTTCACGGATTTGAACTTCTAAAGAACGCTTGATTTGTATTTTGATGGCATCCAGCAGCAAGGTAAACCGATTTCACTATTCAGTATTGTCCTGTGTATGATTTGACTTAGTTTTATTTTCCAGTGTAATTGCCGAAATATGCCGTAATTTCATTCGCGAGGAACGGGCGATTGACGTGTTTGTTTACAAATGCAATTACGCCCAAATCTCAAATCACTCCGGATTTGTTCATGGCAAGGTCAACAAAACAACATGTCTTATATAAGAATAAGCATGCCAGACAGTAGGTCTGAGAGCTTACAAAGATTTTTTTTTTTGAGCTTCAGATAGGTTCGGAGATGTACTAAGAGATTTGTTGAGCTTCAGGGTAGTTTGTAGATCTTGAGAACAGAACTAAAAAACTTCCGAAAATTTTACAGAAATTTAAAGAAATTCTCAGAACTTCAGACAAGTCCAAAAATCTACAGTAAAATGTAAAGAATATCACAGAAGTTTGAAGATCTACTGAACAATTATTGAACATCAGAAAAGTTCGTAGATATTCAAAACAAAGCTGCAGAACTTTGAAAAAAAATTACAGATCTTCTGAAAAAAATCACAGGAATGGTCGTAGTCAATTTAAAGGCCTCCAAGAAAGTGTGCAGATTTCCTGATACATTTTTAAAATCTCAAATTTTAATAGATTTTCAGTGAAATTTGCAGAACTTCAACTTTTGCGATTTAAAAAAAAATATTTATACGATTTTAGGGAAACTTGTAAATCTTGAGAGAAATATTTAAAACTTCAAGGAACCTCATATGTTTTAAGATACATTTTGAGAACTTTAGGTAATTTCGAAGATCTTCAGAGAAACTTTCAGGTCTTCAGGGTAGCCCGAGAGCCTACAGAGGAATTTACAAAACTTCAGAGAAGTTTTCAGATCTTCTGAGAAATTTATTGAGCTTCAAGGTAATCTGTAGAACTTGAGAATAGAACTACGGAGCTTCAAACAACTTTAAAGATCTTTAGAAAAATTCATAAAATTTCAGAAAAATACTTTAATTCCAAAAACAAATCAAAGCCATGTACTAAAGTCCACGATTTTGCAGAACTCCATGGAAGTTGGAAATAAATAGATCTGAAGAACAGTTTTTAGAAAAAAAATTGCATAACTTCAGCAAAACTCACAGAACTTCGAGAAAGCTCGCCGATCTTTAGAAGTATTTACATAACTTCAGAGAAATTGGTGAATCTTCAGAGAAGCTTTTAAAACTTCAGCGAAGTTCAAATATGTTCAGATAATTTGTAGAGCTTTGGGGAATTTCAAAAAATTTCAGATAAATCTGCAGAAATTTATGGAAGTCCAAGAATCTACAAATTAATTTAAAAAACTTAAGAGAAGCTCCAAGATATACTGAGAAATTTATTGAACTTCAAGACAGTTCTTAAATCTTTAGAGCAGATATACAGTACTTCAGAAAATTTAACAGAATTTTAATGAAATTTTAGAAACTTCAGAAAAGTTCAGAGGGTAGATCGTAAATCTACTGGAAAATCTGCAGATCTGTAAATAGTTTTTCAGAATTTGATTGAGTTTCTCGGATTTTAAGAGAAATTTACAGAACTCCAGGGAAGACCGCTGATCTTTAACGATATTTTCACAACTTCAGAAAAATTAGTAGATCTTCTGAGAACTTCCTTAAACTTCCGGGAAGCTCTAAAATTTCCAGATAATTTTTTATTCTTTAGGGAATTGTGTAGATGTTCAGAGATATTTGCAAATATTCATTGAATCATGAAAATCAACAGATAAGAACAGAACAGAACTTTCGAGAAGTTCGTAGATTATTAGAAATTTAGTGAACATCAGAGATAATTGTTGATATTTAAGGATCTTAAATCTGCATACAATCAGGAACTTTGTAGATTTTTAGAGAAATTTGCAGAACTTCTGAGGAACACACAGAACTTCAAAGAAATCTGCAGGACTACCGAGAAATTTGTAGATCTTCAGGAAAGTTTGTTGATCTTCAAATATATTTTACCAGGGAACAGAAACAAAACTTCAGGGACCTCCGAAGGTTTTCAGAGAAATATGCAGAATTGAGTTCATAACAGGAATGTTCAGAACTCAAGCAATCATGTAGATCTATCGAGAACTTTTCCCACTAGCTTGTGGAAAGTTGGTATCGACATCCTTGCAAAGTTTTGAAATCCTTTTTCGCCTTCATATCGCAGTTCTTGAAAGACAAGATGAGCCAGATCCCTGGTAGTGTTCCTCCAGAGCAACCACTTCCTACTCCACAAAGTTCACCTTCTCCTTCTCATTTTATTTAAAATAATAAAAGCAAATACGCCTGCCGAAGCTAGAGCAATTTTCCGATAGTTCATTATGGACAATACTTTTGATTCCTGATACAGTTTTGGTTTGAAATCTAAATTGACAGTTCTTTCGACATGCGCAAGCAGTGTGAACACCAACAAACAGGGGGGTTCGAAAAAGTGTGTCGAAAGTAATATCGAGTAGATTTT